ATGACACTCGCGGTTTTTTTAACAAATAACAAGAATCATTTATTGGTGTGTGCTACACGTGTGTGTGTGTGTACGTGTGTGTGTTTGGAGATTGTTCCCTGCGTCTTTAGGACTCGTCGAGCCGCCGCGTTTAGTCTCCTGACCTGGAGGCGACGCGTCCTTCCTTGCGGGAAACCATCCGAAGTCGGCGCCCGATTCTCCTTCTCTAGAAGTCCGTCCGTGCGGCGTGGCGAGACCGGTCGACGGATCCTGATGTCGCCGCGTGTTAGCGAAACCGCTGCTGGTCGAGTCAGCTTCTTCGGCGGAAGCCAGATCCGTTGGAGCTTCCACGGTACGGGGAGGAAGACGTCGACCGTCGCCGGCGGTGGTGTTGATGGTGTTTCCCACGGAAGCGGAGACGGCGTCTCAGCCCGTGTTGGCGAGGGTGTCCGTGGCCGTGGTGACCGGCCTGACAGGCCTCCCGCCTCGGGCTCCGGGGAGCTGTCTCCAAAAAGTTGTTTGAGGCGCCTTCGCAGGCCCCGACTCTCTGGCGTGTGGGCTTGTGCCCGCGCCGAGGACCTGGCCGCCCTCTCCTTCTCCGTCGTAGTGTGGGAAGGACGCCTCTTCGGCGTCGATGGTCTTTTTGCTTGCCGCTTCTTCAGCGGAGCGCGCTTCTTCAGCGCGAAGTATCGCTTCTTCAGCGATGCGCACTTCTTCAGTGCGAGGTATCGCTTCTTCAGCGAGGTGCACTTCTTCAGCGCAAGATATCGCTTCTTCAGCGAGGCGCACTTCTTCAGTGCGAAGTATCGCTTCTTCAGCAATCGAGGTTTCTATCCTGTGCAGGTACTCACCGAAAGCGAGGTGCACTTCTTCAGCGCAAGATATCGCTTCTTCAGCGAGGCGCGCTTCTTCAGCGCGACGCACTTCTTCAGTGCGAGGCTCGCTTCTTCAGCGAGGCGCGCTTCTTCAGCGCGGCGCACTTCTTCAGTGCAAGGCTCGCTTCTTCAGCGAGGCGCGCTTCTTCAGCGCGGCGCACTTCTTCAGTGCGAGGCTCGCTTCTTCAGCGAGGCGCGCTTCTTCAGCGCGGCGCACTTCTTCAGTGCGAGGAGTAGCGCCTAGAGGTGCTGTTGGTACCGCTGTTGGTATTAGGGCTTTTACTAAAAGTCGCCACTAACACCAGTGCAGCGGTGTGCGAGTGTGTCAGACCTTCCGCTGGGTCTGCCTTTTATTGCTGCTTAATTAGGATTTTCTCGCGAGAAAATCCCCCCGCGAATGCGCCACCGAACGGCGTCGCGCGGAGGCTCTCGCGGTTGTGCGGCGGCTCGGCGAGCGGCGGCGGCTCGGCTAGCGGCGCCGCGCTTGTGTGTGTGCGGATCTATATCGATCCGCCACAAGCCGAAATGCACGTGTTGCATAAACGAACACTGCGAAATACGGCAAGTAAATCAAAAGTGCACGCGCTGCAGAAACATCACGTTACACTTTTGAACTGTTAGGTAATTAGGTCGGTAACCTAATTCCCTAATTTCATGAATGATATATAAAGAGTTGGACCACCTACTCGAAAGAGAGAGAGTAGAGAGAAAAGTACTGTCCAGTCTAGAGGCGCACGTTACATGTCTCAGGTGAGAGACAACTGACTCGAGAGTAATACGAGTGTCCTGCATTACAATAACGCGATACATTAATCTAATCGGTGTAGGATAAGCTAAAAAGTATGTGAAGTGCAATAAGAGCGTGATCAGGAATTGTAAGAAGACAAGTTCTATTACATTGAATAATACATTTTATTAAGAAACTCCTCAAGACTACTAGATTCACTTATTATCCTATACGTTTGCACGTCTGCACCGGATCCCAATTACCGGTTGTGCTTATCGTAACCGAAGGCACAACAATCTGATACGAACGCTCTGTGGATATATGTGTGCGTTTGTATGTACGGGCGTGCGTTCATTTTGTACATATATTTTTACATATAGACATTTGTACATATATATACACATCATTATCTTTTGCAGGAGCACACGGTGCAGGTGGAACGATAATATTCAACGCGCAATCCTCTTCTTCGTCATCGGATGAGTATATCACTTTCCTCGCTCTGTGTCTTCTAGATTCTTTCGTCTCCTTCTCAGTATCCATGTCGGACGTGTAAACGGCCCTTTCCGCTTTTCCAATAGCTTTTTGTAAAGTTGCTGACAAAAAAGTATGTTATATAAATGTATCGTTACTACTAAATATGTCACAGAGTGAGAATATAATAAAAAATTCCACCCTTTTTTTTGCGAGCGATATACTTACAATATTCGCCAAATGTCCGTATAATTGTATGAGAGGTCCAATCAATATCTGGAACTTCCTCTCTTTCTACTGCTTTTCTAATCCTCTTATCCGTTTTGTAGTGCGATGGATATTTACACACATCTCCACTTTGCAGCCATATTTTTGGTATTACCTGGATTCCATCGGAAAATTCTGCGACCACGAATCTTCGACTGGGCATAGTGTCTTCCTGTAAAGTGAACATCAACGAACGTAATCTGCTAAAAGGAAATATTTCAACATTTATTACATATAACTGGTGAATATACATATGTACATAATGCACAACAACATATTAAGGGAAGAAAATATCAGTAATCGGAACATAACATATCGAGAGTAAAATATGTTATAAATGTAAAGATGCAGCGAAACTTTCACATTCAGTTTATCTTTCCACCGTGTTATCAAACCGTAGTGCTAATGAGCGGTATCACCGCATAGTATTCTTTTTCGTTACATGGCAATTGTACTAATTTTTTATTGATTTTACGCAGCGGCCACATTCGCAGATTAGATAATTTTGTTACCTTCAAGATACCCAGATGCATAGAACTACATGAATTGACGTAAAGTTCTTGTACATTCACAAACTTACGACCTATAACAACATTTTTGCCTTCCGCCGTAGTAGCAACATTTTCCACGCAGACTACATCATGTTCTATGAGACAACAATTGTCAGGAGATTTGGTTGAAATGAGAAAATCAGGAAATTCTATTTTTGAAAATTGCGGACTGAAGCAACCTGGCAGCAGGGGCCCTTTATCGTGTGATTGTTTAATGCTAAGTTTCCGACAATTTTGATTGGTAGAAGTAGTTTCACAAATATTTCTTTCCGCATAGCGATTGCTAAGTTGCTCTAACGGTTTTTCCGACTTTCTTAACATTGATTTTAAATCTTTCAGACAATTTTCAAAAGGAAAGGCACTGAACATATCTAATGGTCCAAAGTGTTTTACGCTATCAGTTATATGCAAAAGACCGTGAATATTATGGGATGCATTTTCAGGCCTGTAAATTGTGATGAAACATTCAACAAAGTATTTTAATAAATTTTCAGCGTATTCAATGTGTTCTGTATTTTTCTGACATAATATGCGCACCGCTACATGTAAACAGAGAAAATGGTGAAAGATTTCAGGCTGTAATTCTTTTTGTAATATAACGGGTCCACTATACAGGGTGTTCGGAAAGTACCGGGACGCCCGAATATCAGGAAAAATATAAGTTTTACAAAAAAATGTTTCAGACAAAAGTTGTGGCGTTTAAAAGGATGTATTTACTGATCA